TCGGCGCCCATCGCGAGAGCGCTCGAAGGTCGGGTCGGGCCCCCAAACAATGCCAAGTCCGAGTCCTTCTCTTCAAGTTGGAGCTGGGCTTTATCGGTTTTTAGAGTCCTAGGGGGGCCACAAAGCACCGATCATGACCGATCTATAGAATGGAACTTTGGCCAAAACAACTCAATTAATTACCTGACTTGCTGCTGTGTCTAGATTTGACATCAGCACTGCGAACCCTTGCACGCTCCAATGTCTGATCCTAATAATGAGAGCAGGGCTCAGACTGCATACGTTTGGGACGCTAGGACTCGCTTGCTTGGTGTCGTCCACCTCTTCCAAGCGAATCCGCTTGAATGCCTTCTCCTCAACAAACTTGGTCAGTTCAGCACGGTCAGCAGCTTCTTGCTTGGGTTTGCTCCACTCATGTCTTTCTCCGATAATGCTTGCGTGGCCTGCCTGCCACCAGTCCTGGCCTTGGAGCCGCATCTCTTTGTGGTGCATGTTCTATGTTCTTTGTTCTGCAGCTGAGCAGTTGATTGAATGTGTGTGTTTTTGGCATGATGGTCTAAGTGTCCAAAACCACATGGCACAGCGACATCACCTTTCCAAAGCTTTAGTGGTTAGTCTAACGAAGAATCACCATTAAAAAAAATTGTAAAGGGAAAAAGAAAGAACCCTTTGATCTGGAGGCTTTTCAATTGTGATACGAGTTGAATAAATGATTTTATACAAAATCTTCCTGGGTGACTTTTCGGTTTTGAAGCTCTTCCCAGGTTTCCGCACAAAATCTTTCATGTGTGGATGGTCGTGGTGCATGTTCTATGTTATTTGTTCTGCAGCTGAGTAGCGTCAAATGCTAAGTTTTGCAGTGTGTGGCGTATGTTCTAAGTATTTTTGATGTCAAAAATGTTCTTAAATTGAATTTAGAATAGATTTCACCTGCAACAATATTTTCAAAAAAAGTTTTAACTTTGACTGCGTCGTTATATACAGGACTGTCGTTGCGAAGCTCTTTGTTGTTGCGGGGCTCTTTTGCCTACAATGCAAAGAATTCACTGAATCAGTCTGCGGCTCACTCGTCAAAGTGGGCTTGAAAGTGAAACGATCAGGGTCGTCTTTGGCAATAATCATCCACTGAGGCGGCAATGCGGGCTGGGAGGGAATGTTGGACGTATATCGTATCCATCACGAAATCCCCACTTCGAGGTTCACAAAGTGCTGCGCCTGGCACGAAATCTGCACTTCGAGGCGACGACGACGACGACAACTACTACTACTACCACCGCCACTACTACTACTACTACTACTACTACTACTACTACTACTACTACTAC